AAGAAAAGCCGCCATTGGCGGCGGCAGTTCAGTGGCAGGTCCTTCGCTCCTAGAGGGAGTGAGGGACCTGCCACCCCCGAATTGCCGCAGGTGCCGCCCCTCTCCCTTGGCCGCCCCAAGCACCTGCTTGTTAAGCTGGTGCCTGGAGCCGGCCCTGGGGCCAGAGAACGTTCCCGCGCTGAGCCCGAGCGTGGACCAGGGACCGCAAGCCTTGCTGCACGCTTTCCCCTGGCCATGATTTCTCAGCGCTCCTCAAACCCCAGGGGAACCGGCGGTGTGCACAGAGGGGGCTAGGTGTGAGCAGCCACCCAGCACCCCACCCTGGGCTCTGGGACAAGGAACGGAACAAGCGTGGGGGACCTGCCTGCTGCAGCACTACAGACGGAAACTCCCTCTGAAAATGCAGAGTCACGAGAAAACCAACCGACCAGGACTGCTGAGCGACAAAGGGGAAACCAGCAACGCCTCCCCCTGAGCCCCCCAACCCATCCCCCCCAGAGCCTCCCCATTCCCCCATCTTCCCAGACACTCCCTATTCCCCCCCTCTCCAGAACTTCCCCCATCCCACCCCCAGAGCCTCCCCATTCCCCCATCATCCCAGACACTCCCTATTCCCCCCCACCCCCAGAACTTCCCCCATCCCACCCCCAGAGCCTCCCCATCCCCCTCCTATCCCACCCCAGAGACTCCCTGATTCCCCCCAGCCCACTTGCAGTCCCTCCCCTGATCGCAGCACAGCTCCCCGGCTCTGCCCCACTGCTCTTCGTGGAGGGAGGGCGACACCCTGTGGTCCTGGCGGGGAAGCGTCGGCATCATTGCTCTGGGCTTCCTTTTCCAGGGGAGCTCATGGGCCGGTGCCTCACTCCAGCTGGGGAGCCTGCTAGGGGCAGGAGAGAGGTTCCAGTCTGGGGCAGGGGGTGCTGGCGTGTGAGGCTTGAGAACGGGGGTGTGCCCGGAGGAGATGAGATAGACAAGGGGGTGAGGGGTAATCTCCTTTGTTGGACTGACCTCTGCAGATGAGAGAGACAAGCATTGGCACTACCCAGAGCTCGTCCTTGGGCCTGGGAAAGGTGCTCCGAGTGCCAGCTACACACACGGTGGAACACATGGTTTAGCATAAGGAGTTAATACATATTTCAAGGGACCATTGAAGGTGACGTGGTCCATTAACACCCGTCCAGTCATAGGGGAGGAGGAAAAAGGGGGAAGACAGCTGGGGTGGGTCGTTAGTGGGTTATAGATTGTTGTAATCCGGTGTCTCTGCTCAGGCCCTGAGTTTGTCTAGCAACGTTATAAATGCCAGCTCCCAGGTTTGCCTTTCGAAAGCATTGGGCAGGTTTCCCTTGAGGCTGGGGGCCAAGAGGCCAGATGTAGGGCGATGGCTTTGTGAAAAGTCTGATATGATGTTCTGTGCTCACTTGCTTTAGCACCCCTTCTCTCTCCCTTTGGCTGCCCTATAGAGTCCCCCTCCCTCCAAGCTGATTCAACCCTTGGCGTATTTACAGACAGTTTCTGTTTTCCCCCCCAACTATGTACTCAGCTCAGTGTTTGCCAAAGCCGGGGCATGGCCCCGGGGCGAGAGCTCAGGAAGCGCTAGCTGGGGGGCGGGGGCAGACATTCCCTTCCATTGGTCTCCAGAATCTTAGCTTCCATTTCAAAATCCTCCGTCTTGAGCTGTGATGCCGAGGCACCTGCCAGAGTCTGCAAAGAGCCTGACACAAGAGCTCTGAGGGGGGCGGGGCTTGCCTTCCTCTGCAGCATGGGGCGTGGTTTGCCTGCCGGGATCGTCCAGGCATGTCTCCCCTGAGCAGTTCCTCCAGCACTGGGGGCAGCTGGGACTCTCCTGGTCTCTGCCTGCAGCATGCAACTCCAGTGGACTGAAAAGCTTTCGTCTAACGAGAGACTTTGAGCTTGGTACGGGTGTCGCTGAAGGACCTGTGCTGAGATGGTCTAATGGGCCCTTGTGGGCTTAAACTCTGTGAGACTGTCCCGTTCATTGCAGCAGGGGCTGAGTGAGATGACCAGATGGAGGAGGTATTTTTGAAAGGCAGTTGTGAGGAAGGGGGGGAGGTGGAGGGCAGCCTATGCACGCTGGGAGGAAGACAGTTCAAAAACTGAGGACCCTTGACTATGAAAGAACTGGCTGTGGCCAGAGTAGCTCTTGTCCAGCTGGCCAGGGTTATGCTTGGATCGGCGTCCCCTCATCACTCATTAATGGACCAGTTTTCTCTGCAATGCACCATTCACCCCTCGCCCACCAGCAGGGAGGCAGCGCCGTTAATGCAAATGAGCATGGCTTTATGGAGAATAGGGATTGTTAAATAAACTTGTGGTCGTTCTTTGATGAGATCACAGGTCGGATTGATAACGGTAACTGTGTTGACATAAATACTTAGATATGTTAGTTTTACTTAGGGCTGGTCTATACTTAGCTGCTAGTTCGGCGGCTGGAAATCGAACTTCCTGGTTCGATTTATCGCGTCTGGTCTGGACGCGATAAATCGAACCAGGAAGTGCTCGCCGTCGACTGCGGTACTCCAGCTCAACGAGAGGAGTACCGCGGAGTCGACGGGGAGCCTGCCTGCCGCGTGTGGACCGCGTCTGAACCACGGTAAGTTCGAAGTAAGGTATATCGACTTCAGCTACGTTATTCACGTAGCTGAAGTTGCGTACCTTACTTCGACTTGGGGGGTTAGTGTAGACCAGGCCTCAGATTAGTTTCTTTGGGGGCGAGGACGGTCTTGTTGGTCTGTGTTTGTACAGCGCCTAGCACAATGGGGTCCTGGTCCGTGACTGGGGGATCCAAGATGCTACCATACTGTAAACAGTAAATAATAATGTACTTGGATTTCTGTAGGGCATCAGTGCTGCACAATGTTCTGATCAAAAAGTAGCACAGTGCTGAATCGTTATGGGACCTAATCCGTGGGGTAAAAACTGACTAACTGATAGATCTCAACATGGAATGGTTAGTGGGGAATCGTCACCCCAGAGGGTGTTTCTAGCGGGGTTCTTCAGAGATCTGTTCTTGGGCCAATGCAGTTCCATATCTTTATCAATGATCTGCAAGGAAATATGCAGTCATTGCTGGTGAAGTTTGCAGATGACGCAGACTGGTGGGGAGATAAATAATGGACCTGTATCCCCCCCCGCTGGGGTTCACTTCGACTAGCTCCATCGAGGTGGGCTCCGCTCCAGAGCCTTGTCTCCACTAGGAGTTCATTGTCCCGGTGTAAAAAACACCTTTTCTGAAGTGAAGCCATAGTCACAGCCTCTCGGTTTAGACCCAGCAGGGCCTCTGCTCTGCGTAGGGCCTTTATCGTTGGGATCACAAAGCTACTTTGCACAGCACTCAGGGAGCTCTGGTGTGATGCATGTCTGGCAGCACTGATTACCCAACAGATAGCTTATCTGGGGAGTTAACCTCCCCCACCAGCACAGCCTCTGGTTTCAGAACTGCATCATTTCCATCTCTTCTCCCCCATGGGGGCTGGGTGGCCAGCGCCCATGGCGCTCTCTCCTTTGTTGCTCACTGTGATGAAGTGGGGGAGTTTCTTGTTTTCCGTTTCCTATGGGGGATTTTCTTGGTTTTCCTATGGTTTGCATGCAGAGGGGGTGGGACTCAGTTTCCCTAGGTGCTACGGGTTTAACGAGCTGATGGGAGAGGGAGTTTGTTGTTACAGAGGACTGGCGAGGGACCCCCAACCACTGGCGTGGAGAATGAAGACCCCAGCAACTGGTGACCTGGAGGTCCAGCTCAGGAGTCACAGCCGGTTCTGGCCAGTGGGAGGACAATGGGCTGCGAAGAGAGCAGAGGAGGCCCAGGCGACCCTGTTTACCTGGAGAGAAGACAATGGACAGCGGCGGGGCCTGGGGCCGGTGATATCGGATGCCCAGCTGGGAAGCGGGAGCTCTGGGCTGGAGGAGGGAGCAGGCAGAGCCCACCTGGATGCAGGGAGACTGGGATGTGCTGTGCTGAGGGAGGCCAGGCCTGAGGCCCTGAGAGTTTCCTGTGCTGGGTTCAGACTCTCCTGTGTTACACTGGCTGAGAGTCACTCCAGTCTGGAGAACAGGGGGGCATTATTCCCTCTGGGAGTGGAGGCCCTGGGAGTCCAGAGTGAGGGGACTCCCTGAGGGGGCCCATGGCGAGAGACAGACGTGCTAAGGCTCAGAGAGGTGCGGCTCCAGGAGGCGGAGGGGCTTAACCCCCGAGAGAGAGTGGACCCGCGAGAAGGGCTGTCTCACTGAAAGGGGCACCCCCCACGGACTGCACGGGGCCAAGAGTGGGCACGATCTGTGAAGGGAGCCTCTTGCTCTTTGGGATTCAGTTCCAGTTCCCTGGCATGGTCACCACCACATCCCACTCCTCCCCTCCCCACCCCCTTTTAACTCCTCTATCTTCTCTGCTGAGCTATGAAAACCATCCCGCCAGATCGTGGTCCTGTGCCCAAGGCCACAGTTTCCGTCATTTATTAAACCTCTTTCCTCTTGTGGCCTGTTTCCCTGCTCTTTGCATGTCTGCCCAGCACACGGACACCCCTCTCCAGCTCCATCTGCTCCAGCAGGACTCGATCTTCTGCCCTAGTTTATATACAGCACCAGGTGCTGCAGCAGAGATGAGGGTGGTGACAGGGCTGGGATAACAGGGGCTGCGGGTCAGGAGTGAGGGGCACTGGCAGCGCTGGGGGGGAGCCCAGGGCTGGGCTAGCAGGGGGCTGTGGGTCGGGAGTGAGGGGCACTGGCAGCGCTGGGGGTGGGGCTCAGGACTGGAATAGCAGGATGCAAAGGCGGTACGAGCCCATTGAGGGCCCGGAGCAGGAATATTCCCCCTCCCCAACACATAACACATACTAATAAACTTGTTATCCAGTCCACGTTCAATGAAATGAACAGTATTGGAAAGAAATAACAATGAAACTAAATCAACGGTGTCTGGCCTTCATTAAAAGCGACGTCGCCAGCCCTTTTTCGATGCAAAGTCGCCAATCACGTCATTGCACAATGGTTGTCTTTCGAAAGTGTTTCTCAACTTGGGGGTTGTGGCCCTCAGGGAGGTCGGGGGACGGGTTTAGGCGGGGTCGCAAGTGGAGGGCCTGCGTTAGAAGGTGGGAAGCAGGGCCATTGCCCAGGGCCCCTCTGGCCGGGGCTGAAGCATGTAACTTAGCTTCGCTGGGCTGTATTTTCAGATCTGTTTGAAAACCGTTTTTAAAATGAGTAAAATACTAACCCAGGCCAGTGCTTCTGACAATAACACTAATGAAAAGCGAATGGAGGCCCCCCTTGAGCTGCCAATTGCTGAGTCTCCTTACGCCCAGCACGGCATTGGCAGGGTGGGGGGCAGGTCAGGAGTCAGACGAGTCACTGGCCCAGCAGCGCCGGATTCTCTTTCTCCCCGGCAGCCACAGAGAAGCGAGTTGCTGGAGAGGAACAGGGTGTGGGCGAGGGATGGCCCCTCCCAGGAAATCTGATTTTAAACTCCTGTGGCTTAAGGTTTTGCAGTACAGGCTGACGACTCCCCCGGTGAGTAACTTTGCTCCTCTGCTGCCTCTTCCTGTTTGTCGCAGGCCTGGTTAGGCAAGGGGAAACCTTCCAGTTGTGGTGCAGTAATTGAGCGTGAGGGGGTGACCCCTTCTTGTGCAGGGCTGGGACCCAAGCAGGGGATCAGGGCTGGCTTATCCAGGCAGAGGGTCCATAAGTGTTTCCTGGCAGCCTAGCTTGTTGGTTCAGTTAGCTACCTCTAGCTGAATCCCCGGGCAGACGCCTCTCCGGTGTGTGCCCCCTCCTCTGTCATTTACAGGGCGCTCAGCACTGGAGCCCGACTCCCCCAGGCCAAGCAGGATCAGGGCAAGCGTCCCCCGCTGGGCCTTGTCCCAGTCAGGAGGGACTCGGGTTGCTAGTTTGGGTTGGCCGTATTCCTGGAGGTTGCGTCCCATGACATAGTCCTGGAGGGCTGGCAGCACTAGGCGGGATGGGAGGTCGGTCCCCGGACAGCTCTACCCTGTGCTGAGGCTGCCGACAAGGGGGCCAGCTGCAGGGACGCGCCCGGGTTTGGGGGCGGTTGGCCTGGCTTGCAAAGAGGGCAGGATCCATCACTGCCGGGGGGCACTGTCCGGCGGGCGGCTCGGCCAGCCCTGAGCGGGGCTTAGCCAGGGCTCCGGGGCTCGGCCGCCCCTGCTGTCAGCAATGCAGCGCTTTGCATCACAGGCCAGGCTGCGCCACCTCGTCAGAGCGGGGATTTAGTGGTGAGCCTGGCATCCGTGCCCTTCTGGGGGCTGCAGGCAGCCACTGGCTCCCAGGCTGTGCAGCTCGGGGATGGGCATAAAGCCAAGAGCCCCAGGTTCGAATCCAGCTCAGGAGGGACCCAATGGGCAGGCGGGGATCGGCTGGGCCACGCAGAGGGCACCAGGAGGCAGGGGTGCTGGTGGGAGCGGGTGTGGGGAGCTGACTCTATGGCTGGCAGCCGTCCCGTCTCGGCAGGATGCGTGCGGAGGAGGCAAACGGCTGGGAGATAAACAAGCCTTCGGCGCGGAGCTGGGCACAGGCCCCCCGAGGGCGGCTGGGGCGGCAGGGAGGCGGGTGAGAAACGCGACACATGATTGACCACAGTGGGCTGTGAAGTAACAGGGAGTGTGAGAGGATGTCAGAGCCCCCAGGGAATAACACACAGCACACCCAGCCCCGCCTCGCCATGGCCAGCGCTGAGGGGTGAGGGGGGCGGGGCTGCTTTCTCTGGGCCAGCACCCACCCTGACACGGGGGTCCCTGCACCCACATGCCCAGCCCCACCTCCTCCTTCCTCTGCCTGGCTGGGGATGACTCAGCAGCAGCCAAACCAGTTCTGTTACCTTCTCGGTGTGCAGGCCGGGAGGGGCCCGTGGCCCCCAGCCCAGCCACGGGGCAGGAGCCCTCGCCCACCGGCATGGCGGGCACCTCCTGGCCAGGGAGCCAGGGTGTGCCCGGCCCTCTATCCACCCGGCCCTAATGCTAACCAGCTCCTCTCTCTCCCCAGGGCCCTGACACCATGTACACAGCGATCCCCAAAAGGTACCGAGCCAGTCGCCCCGAGTCCCCCCAACCCCTGGATTTACCCCTAACTCCTGCCCCACACCCCTCCTCACCTGGATTTTCCACAGCCCCTCCCCATCCCCTGGAGTTACCCCCATCCCCTCCCCCACACCCATCCTAATCTGGATTTACCCCCATCCTGCCTCTCCCACCCTCAGCCCCTCCTCCCCAGCCCTCGCACCCCTCTCCGCATTCACCCCAGCCCCTTTTCACTCCGGCAGCGGCTCCCCCTTCGATGCCTCGGTGAACCAGCCAGGCCTGCACATCTGGCGGGTGGAGAAGATGAAGCCGGTCCCGGTGCCGGCAGAGTCCAAGGGCATCTTCTACTCGGGGGACTCCTACCTGGTCCTGCACAACGGGCCGGAGGAGCAAGCCAACCTGCACATCTGGATCGGTAAGAGCCGGCTCTCCGGCATGGCGGTTCGGGCTCCCGGCCAGCCCTGTGGGGGGAGGCAGCCTGGAGGGGAGAAGCGGGGTGCTGGGGCCATGGCCCAGCTGAGGCTGCCGGCACCCTGGGCCATGCCCGCCCCGCTGAGGAAGGGAGATTTGCCCCCTCATGAGCTGGGGCAAGGTTCCCCTGACAGCGCCAGTGAGCCAGGTTCCCGGCCAATGGGAGCTGCGGAGCTGGTGCTCAGGGTGGGGGCAGCACATAGAGCCCCCCTGGCCGTCCCACCGGGCAGGGAGCCTGCCAGCCTTGCACCAACCGGACTTTTAACAGCCCGGTCAGCGGTGCTTACCAGAGCAGCCAGGGTCCCTTTTTGACCAGGTGTTCTTATCAAAAACTGGACACCTGGCAACCCTCGGCGCCGGGGCCCCTGCCAGCCGGGTGGCAGCTCAGCCGTTGCTATTCCTCCCCCGCCGCGCCCAGGCCAGAGCTCCTCACGGGATGAGCAGGGGGCCTGCGCCGTGCTCTCCACCCACCTCAACACCCTGCTGGGCGAGCGGCCCATCCAGCACCGCGAGGTGCAGGGCAACGAGTCCGACGTCTTCATGGAGTACTTCCCCCACGGCATCAAGTACCAGGTACCAGGGAGGGGCCCGCCCCAGATCCCCAACTGCCCCCCAGCCCCGGCCTGCCCCGTCTGACCCCCTCCCCAACCCCAACCCTGACCTGACCTGTCTGACCCCTCACCATCACCCCAGGCCTGCCCTGCTTCCCTCCCTTGACCCCTTAATTGCTCCCTTTGCCACGGGTCAGCCCCTGCCTCCCCTCCCTCCCCATCCTGACCTGCTCCATCTGCCCCCCTCCCCCTGACCCCAGCTAGTCCCCGTGCTCCCCGCCCGGCTGGCGCTCAGGGCCCCTCTCTGTCTCTGCCCCTCAGGAGGGCGGTGTGGAGTCCGCCTTTCACAAAACCCAGTCCAGCCAGGGCTCCGGGCCCATCCGCAAACTCTACCAAGTGAAGGGCAAGAAAAACATCCGGGCCACCGAGCGGGAGCTGAGCTGGGCCAGCTACAACACCGGGGACTGCTTCATCCTGGACCTGGGCGACGTAAGACCGCACCGGGGGCAGGGGCCTGGGCGGACACAGGGGATGGAGGGGATTGGCCAGGGCAGGTGACGGGTGCATTAGCACCCAGGGGTGGAGGGGGATCGGCCAGGGTGAGTAGTGGGTGCATTAGCCCCAGGGGTGGGGATGGACTGGCCGGTGTGCGGGGGCTGGGTGTGCATGGGGCAGGCAGGCAGAGGCACTGGCGGGTGACGGCGTTGGCATTGCTAGGGGGGTAGCAGGGAGGTTGGCAGGCAGGGGCTGAGGTAGGTAGGCCGGG